GCTTGACTTTAGTACCTTTGATATTAACTGCATTATAATATAAATTCACCCATGACAATTAATTATGAGTAAAAATGAGTAGATAGTAGTAGTAGTTAGTACAACAAGAATATAATTATATAGAACAAAAGAAAGACTTAATAGCCTGTCTACTTAGGAATGCAGCTAGGTCCAGATGTACTTCGGACATAGATCACTGCCCTGTCAATGATAAGCTAAACCTATGAGCAAGCTGATTGCGTTGATGTTCACTGTTCCTATGCTTTTAGAAAACATATATATACTGGTCACAAACTCAAATTAAATTACACTCAGATTTACACTCTCTCTTGAAGTGTGTCTGCTTGTCATTTCTTTAGCTGAATCCCTGACCACCCTGCGCGGTCTCTCAACCCTGAGATGGCCTCATCGTTCACTGCTGTGCTGGTCTGCGGCATACACACAATGGAATACTACTCTGCAATCAAAAAAAGATAAATTCACACCATTTATGGCAACATGAATGAAACTGGAAGCTATTATGCCAAGCAAAATAAGCCAGAAGGGCAAAGATAAATACTGGATGATGTTACATTTCTGTGGAATATCAAGAAACCAAACAAACTTTGTCAAACACAAACTTTAGAGTCAATCCTTGATGATGTGTCTTCTTACCTAGGACACCAGCACCTTGAGGTCAGGGGACAGCAGAGTCCTTGTACATCTAGTAGGCTGGGCTAACAGTTTAACCAATCAACTCAATGCCTTCCAGAGATAGTCATATTGGACAGGTTATGTTGGACCTGTAGGAATGTTCTGACAGTTCTAAGACTCCAACCCCCAATTTAAAAACCAATAGCAAGTCCATATTTGATTTTACAATGTCGAGTCAGAGTTACCTGTGTGGGGGAAGATGTAAGGACCAAAAGTTATCGGAATCTCTTATTTTGACAAGTGCCCTCAAAGACACACTCGTCCCTCATGTCATTAGCTCATGATCCTTCATCTAGCAACTTATAAACACAATAGGACTGTGGACTTTCTGGACATTTTCTTTGCTTCTCACCAGAGGAACTCTTCAAAGCAAACAAAGTTATTGTCTTGCTGACTTTATTGTCCCAGGCAGCCTTGCCAGGGTGGAAAGGACATTTCCAGCAGAGCAAACTGTAGAATTCTTTCCTTCTTTTTGAGTTTACAGCACCTTTTCCAAAATCTCTTTCTGTACGCATGTGTCATACAATGTAATAGAGTTACATTCTATTGTCATCGTCTATGTCACATTCTGGGATACCCGAATTTGCAAAACGATTCATTAAAATTTAGGTAGACAAAGGGTCGTTCTTAGTGCTGTGAGTTCTATGGGTTTTGACAAATGCATGTTGTTAAATGCAGCTATCTTCATAGTATTTTCTCAGTAAGTTACTTGTCTTTTTAACATCATTATGCAGAGCATAAACTTTTAATAAAGTGCAAAGGTCTGTTTATTATTTTATAGGTCATGCTTCTAGTGTTTTATCTAAAAAGTTATTAGCAAATCCAAAGTCACATCTATTTGTATTATTATGTCTTATTGGAGAAGTTTTATAGTATTGCATTTTACTTTCACGTTTATGATTGAATTTGCGATTGTTCTTTTTTAAATAAGGTTTAGGTCTGTATCTAGGTCCATTTTATTAGTGTTGTTGGCTTTCTGTGCATAGGTCCCCTGCAAATTTTGTTAGATTTATGCTTAGGTATTTATTTTTTCTTTCTTTTTTTTTTCATTTTTTATTTATTTATTTTTAACTATTTATTTATTTATTTATTTGTTTGTTTATTTATACAAGCACTGCATATAGTCAGAAGCATGGGAGGGTGAGAGAATTCACCAGAGACAGAGCAGGGAACAGAACAGGCAGACTGACGAAGTATAATGTTGAGGGGAGCAGCGGTCAGCAGGACAAGTCTGTGTGCTATGTGGTAACCTTGTTGTTGGCCGGGATTGAACCAGTGCTGCAGAGGCTGCGGGCAGTTTCACAGCCCAGCGCTCAACCACTGCGCCACCAGGGGAGGCACTGCTTAGGTATTTCATTTGGGGTAGTATTTTTATAAAAGATAATGTTTCTTTAATTTTAAATCCCAGTTGTTTGTGTTGCTTATGGGGAAACTAATAAAATCTTGTATATTGACCACATACCCTTCCTATAGTTGCTAATTATTTTTGAGATTTTTTAAGCTTTCTAGTGGTTTTCTACCTGGAATATATAATTGAATTGGTGTAGTGGCAGAGGACAAAATGGCCTTTTTCTCCATCTAAAGAGGATATCTATTTGGTGGCTCATCTTTAAGTATAATGTTAGTTACATGTTTTCTTTTATACATTTTATTAGTTTAAGGAAAAGCCCTTTAAATCCTGTTTTTTTATTTTTTTTTTTTTAATTTCGAATGTGTGTTGAAATATATAGAATGATTTCGTGTCTGTTGCTATGGTCATATGTTCTTTTCTTATCCACTCTTAATGTAAAGTGTTATTTTACTTGATATGTAAGTGTTGAACTGGTCTTGTATTACAGGAATGAACCACACTTAGCCATGATATATATAATTTTTCAATAATTTCAATACAAGTCACTGGACGTGATTTTTTTTAACATCTCTAGATTTTCAGTTTTATTGTCTTTTTATTGTATTTAGTTGTTTTGGTTTCCAAAGTAATTATGGTCTCAAAAATGAATTGGGTTACACATGAGAGGCCATATGGAGGCAGAGTGAAGACACTGGGCTCAGCGCCACCATATACTCACAACACTGTGCAGGACAACATCAATGTCCCTGAAAGAGAAATGGGTGAGCAGGGCACACACCAGGAGCAGGGACCAATGGCAAGAAACTGGGAAAACTTTAACTGACCTGCATCTGCAATTATACTGGAACAGAATTAAACCCCCTACAGATGTGGACTTGGGGACACAAGCCACATTGGGGCCTTTGGAGACACAGCACTTCCCTCAGTGCTGGGCTCAACCCACTGGGCCATCCGGGAGGCCACATTTTTGAAGACATCGTACCAATTCTCTACAGCTGGGAGTGTTTTTCTGATGGTAGAAGGCTCATAAATACTTCATACCTATAGAAGCACACAGAAGCCACACTCATGTAGACTCACATGCACACACTTGCACACAGTGCAAGACATGCACATACACCTAAATAAAATAGTGCATATACCTTATTCCATACTCACAGCTTGCTCTGCTTCACAATCCTGTCTCACTGTCTTATAACCACGTGACCCCTCTGACTTTTCTAAAATTTTCTAAATGCTTTCCAAAATTTTCTGAATTGTCTAAACTTTTCACTGCTTATTACAAGAATGTTAAAGGAAATTTAGGTTTCTGGTGTCCGATGTGTTGGAAATGTGGGCACAGTCATAAAGGGGAAGCAAATGTTGTCGGTTTCATACACCATTTTAATGTGTCCTGGGGTAGACATTTTAACTAAATAATCAATTTCAGACTGTCTCCTCCAGGCGGAGAAAGAGCATCCAGATGCCTCCACGCCCCAGGGCCCTGCAGGTAGAGCGGGTCACCTGGAGGCGCCCCTGCAGTGGGAACAAGTGTGTCCACGGTGGCCGCCTCCTCGCGCCCTCTGGGACCTGCATGGGAAGAGCAGAGCCAGTGAAGCCCAAGCACGGAGGAGGCTCTTACCTTAGTGACACCCCCCGGGGAGTGCTGCACGGACTCAGATGCGACAAAGTGCAGATGGAAACCAGGAGGCCCTACCAAGGCGCCACTCGCTGGCGGGTGAGCAGTTCTCCAACTTGGATGCTCCATTGTGAAAAGGGGCTCAGTTGAGGGGGACTTCCTACCGTGGATGTCAGTCACTGACAGTGCCAGTAAGCCCAAAGAGCTCCTGCATCGTCTGCGCCATCCGGGTGTCCAGGGGCCACCAGCAGGGCCCTCACGGGATAGAGCCTAAGATGGGGAAGCAAGGCCCTGGGGTCCCAGCCTCTGGCCCTGGGGCCTCTGGAGGCTCAGCCCGCACAGCTCCACTCCCATCCCGGGCCCTGCACCTGCTCAGCTGCCCCAAGCCCTCCTCTGCCCCCTTCCCCCGATCTGCTCTCCTCCAGGTGCTTCACAAGGCACTCCCGGCCTTTCACCTGCTCTGCTCCTGGGACTGCTATTCTTGCGGTCATCTGTGCTCCACGCCTATGGTCTCATGCTGCTCCTGGCCCCTCTGGCTGGGCCCAGCCCCTGACCCCTCTCCAGGGCCTCGGCCTCAGCTGGTGTGCTCATTTCACTATGGCCGCTGAGTGGCTGCTCTGGAGCGGGGAAGTGAATTCTAGGGAGGTGCTAGTCATCATCTAATCATTAGCAGGGTGAACTCTGCTCTTGTGTTTTCTTCCAAAGGGTGGACAGAAAAGGCAACATTTTAAAATCCTGTTAAGGATACGACGAGCTCTGGCCTTACAGCCTCCAAGGGTGGAATGAGAATGGTTTTCATGGCCCAGTGTCTCTGCAGGGGCCACCAGTGGGCTGAACAGGAGGCACCTTCTTGGGGTTATTTGAGTGGTGCTGGAGAGCTGGGGGGGCTGGGCTGCATGTCTTCGTAATGCTTTCCTGACCCCCTCCAGCTTGGGGCCTGGCAAAGTGGTGCTGGGCCGCAGAGCTTCCTCCTGCAGGGGGCCTGGCAGTGATGTGGTGTTGGGCCCCCAGGCCTCCCGCAGCACGGGCCCTGACCTGGTGGCCATGCTGGGCTTCCAGGTGTCGGGCAGCAGGGGCCCTGAGCCGGAGATGGACTTCTGCACGCCGGTGTCCTCCTGCGGGATGCCTGGCCCGGAGGTGGTAGTGGGCTTCTGGGCGTCCTGCTTCGGGGACAGTCCCACCGCAAGTTCTCACGTCCCGAGACCTTAGGCTGCTGGTGGTCCTCCGGTATCAGGGTGCAGTGGGCCCCATCGGGACTGAGGAGCTTGGGGGAGATGGCAGGGTCCGGCCCCTCCTCGTCCGCCCACTGCCTGGAGAGCAGCATGAGGTAGATCCCCATCACAGGGTCATACCTGCCCTCTAAAAGCACGCTGTCGATGACCTCTTTCCGGAACTCCAGGCAGTCCATGGCTTCCATTGCGACCTTGTGCGGGCCCAGGGATTGCTCACGGCAGAGCGAGAGCCCATTCATCAGCCCCACCCAGGGGTGCTGGATGACACTGTCCAGGTTGCTGTGGCTCTAGGGGTCAAGCGTCCTCATCTTCCTCAGCAGGTCCCGGCACTGCTGGGAGAGGTAGTGCGGCTCGTGGTAGACGATGCTCAGCACCCTGGCCCGCAGCTCCCCAAGGCTAGTGCCCTCGAAGGGCAGCTTCCCAGTGACCATGTCATAGAGGACCACCCCCAGGCTCCAGACATCTGCCGCGGGGCCACTGTACTCCTGGCGACGGAGTATCTCGGGGGCCACGAACTGCAGGCTGCCACAGGGGGTCTTGAGCAGCGCCGCCACTGAGAACTGGGCGCTGAGCGCAAAGTCTGCCAGTTTTATGTTTTGGTGCCGGTCCAGGAGCAGGTTCTCTGGCTTCAGGTCCCGGTGAGCCACACCCCAGGTGTGGCAGTGGCTGAGCGCTGCGAGGATCTGATGGAAGAGGTGGTGCACCTCCATCTCCCCCTGGTCAGCTCCCCCCGAGATTTCTGGCTTGGAAATATCTGCATCTGGGGTTCTCGTTGGTGCAGCGGGTTGAGCGCAGCACTGTGGAGCTGTCCTCACCTCTGCAGCTCCGGTTCGATTCCCGGCCCACCAGGGTGGTGAGCAGACCTCTCCTTTCCCGCCCGCTGCTCCCCTCAGCAGTGTATTTCGTCAGTCTGCCTGTTCTGCTCCCACTCTGTCTCTGGTGAATCATCTCACCCTCACACCTCTGGCCTGTACCCCGGTTACTTTATAAATATATCTTAAAAAAAAAGACTATTTTTAAAAAAATCTGCTTCTTGCTCGAACTCTGGGTGGGGGGGGGCAGAGGTTGGCAAAGGCCAGGTCCAGATGCTGTGGCCCTTTCCCCCCCCCCGGGAACGGCCTGGCTTCTGGAAGTGGTAGGTTCCCGTGAGCAGTGGGGTCCGCTGCTGCTCAGGTTGCAGGTTCCCCCCTCCAGGCCAACCCTGATCACTCACGCACAGCATCCGCTGAGGACCAGGTCTCCCCTGAGCAGCCTGGGGCGCGGCCAGAGCCCCGAGGCTCAGAGCCTGGACTCAGGGGTTCGGGCCCGGTGGCCCCAGCGCCGCGTGTCCCAGGCCCGGAGGGCGGAGGGTGTCATCCTCTCGGGGGACAGGACGCTCAGGGCAGGTTCCCTTGGTCCCGCCCCTTGGGGACCTGACCCAGCAGCGGCTGGGAGAGGCCGAGCTGCTCCTCCTGCGACCGCGGCTGCTCCCGGCTTCCACGCAGTGTTCGCGGCCTCTCCCGTGTCGGGGGTGGACTCGCGGGCCCGTTCCTGTCTTTCTTCCCAACCTCCACAGCCGCCTCAGGGGAGTCCGCGCTTGGCGGCCGCCTGTGTCCACGCCCGCCTCAGCCTCAGGGCTGCAACCCCACGGAGGCTCCGCATCCCTCTCGCCTCTGAGAACCCACGATGCCCCACCAGCCTGGGATGCTGCGCGTCACGGGCCAGGGCTGTGGCCCCGCACTGGTTCCTCCCCTTCCTTCACCCTCCCCCACACCAGGGAAGAGCGAGAGCATCAATCAGATCATCCACTCGCTGGCCTCACGCCTTCCCGTGGCCCTACTGGGCGTGACACTTCCCAAAACTCCTTTGCACAGGCTTCCTGCCCCGCTGGCCTCAGCCCTGCCCCCCACCTGCCTCTCACCCTGTCCAGCCTGCTGGGTGAGCTGCCCTTCTTTTTTGTTTTTAATTTTATGTATTTTTACATCTTTTTCATTTTTGCCAATGTATGCATTTTCACCTTGGTTATAGTCCCGTACAATTCCCAGCCCCCTTGTTTGATCCTACTCCCTCCTCCCCCGCACAGTAGTGTGTCTCTGGCTTGTAGTTGCTGTTGATTGTGATTTTTACTTCATTATAAT